AAACTGACCACAGTGACAGGACACAAACTGCTATTTGAGTACAATTGTTCTTTGTTTCTCTTTTTTAAAACATTTTGTTTATTTATCCATGATAGACACAGAGAGAGAAGCAGAGGGAGAAGCAGGCTCCCTGCAAGGAGCCCGACGTGGGACTCGATCCCGGGATCCCGGGACCCCGGGACCACGCCCTGGGCCAAAGGCAGACCCTCAACCGCTGAGCCACCCAGGCGTCCCTGTATAAGTACAATTGTGATACATGCCAAGGAAGAGAAGTACAGTGTTTTGACTCTGTTCAGCATGATAGCTTATCAACCTTACCAGGAGATCAGGGAAGGAGAACCTTGTTAATTTTATTCATTTGTTCAGCAAGTTATTTATTAAGGGAACTATCAGGTGTGGGCCCTAGGATACAATGGTGAGTAAGACACATATAATCCGTATCCGCTCAGGGAGCTTATATTCTGGGGGACAAGACAAAAATTAAACAAGGGGGACAGAACAATTAAATGTCACGTTCTGGAGACGATACGGGAAAAATGAACAAGGAAATGATACACAGAACAGGGGATGGGGCAGTTTAGGTAGGGAGGTGGGGAAAGGCCTCTCAGAGATGCTCATTCAGCTAAGACTTGAAGGATAACAAGGAGAGCAGTATGGAGAGCAGGAGGAACTGTGTGCCAGGCGGAAGAACAGAACCTGCAGAGGCCCCAAGGCAGGGAAGATAAGTGTGAATGGAGTTTAGTGAGCGAAGGGGGCAGGGAGCAGGGCTCAGAAAATCAGGGCCTTACAGGTGGAGGGCCAGGAACCTATTGTCCACTTTAGAGAATAAAAGGAGACCTTCTTAAGAAATCATATCCTAGGTAAAATGAGACATAAGATCACCCTCCTTAGAGACCAAACTAAAGACTTTGGACTTAGAATAAACTGCAAAAAGAAGCCACTGAAGGTTTTAAGCAAAGAAGTTTAATAGAGTGGTTTGCAAAAAAAAAAACATTTGCTGCTGCTCTGGGGCTGCGGATTGGAAGGGACAGCGTATTGAAGTGGGAAGAGGCTATGAGAGTAATCCAGATGGAATGGGTCATAGTTGGCTATACAAAGTTATTCACAACAGAGCCAAAAAGAGAATGGATCAAGATTATATTTGGGGGGCACTTGGCTGGCTCAGTTGGTAGAGCATGTGACTCTTGATCTCAGGATTGTAATTTCAAGCACCTGTCACCTGTCATCTAGAATGAAGTGCCCATGAAGTGGCTTCGGCATTTGCAGCTAGAGAAGAGTATGAAGGGCACATAAAAGGACACGTGTTAGAGATCAATGTACCATTATGGTTTGTCAGTGGTGTTTCCTTCTCAGTAGTCACAAAATAGTGGTGCTTCTTGTAATTGATCATGTCATAGTCCTTTTTTAGCAGAAGGGAGGAGATTGCTGAGGGGGAATATCAGCATATTTGTGGAATTAGGGGATGTGGAGTAGGGTGGTTACTTCTTACTGTGGCAAACAGCTTAAAACAGGGTTTCTTAAACCCCAGAACTACTGATATTTTGGGCTGGATACTTATTTGTTATAGGAGGTGGTCCTGTGCATTATAGGATATTTAACAACATCCCTGGTCTCTATCCACTAGATGCAAATAACATATACACACACATCTCTCCCCAGTTGTGACAACCAAAAACGTCTTTATATATTGCCAAGTATCCCCTGGAAGAGACAAAATCACTAACAGTGAAAACTCGTTTAAAGAAAGAGAGTAACAGGAGTGCCTGGCTGGCTCAGTTGGTAGAGCAGGCAACTTTTTTTTTTTAAGATTTTATTTATTTATTCATGAGAGACACAGAAAGAGAGAGGCAGAGAGAGAAGCAGGCTCCATGCAGAGAGCCTGATGTGGGACTCGATCCCAGGACTCCAGGATCACGCCCTAAGCTGAAGGGAGGTGCTTTAACCGCTAAGCTACCCAGGCGTCCCAAGCACGCAACTCTTGATCTTGGGTTTATGAGTTCAAGCCTTATGGTGGGGGTGGACCTTACTTTAAAAAAAGGGGGAGAGTGGGCAGCCCGAGTGGTTCAGCGGTTTAGCACTGCCTCCAGCCTAGAGCCTGATCCCGGAGACCTGGGATGGAGTCCCACGTCGGGCTCCCTGCATGGAGCCTGCTTCTCCCTCTGCCTCTCTCTCTCTCTCCCTCTCTCTCTTTCTCTCTCTCTGTCTCATGAATAAATAAAATCTTTTTTAAAAAAGTTGGGGGGGAGAGAGAGAGAGAGGAGATCAAATTCTAAATCCTAAGTCAAAGCACAGACTGAAAGTCTGAGATTTCCTAAGACTACAGTAAAGGAATCTCTTTTTGTTTGCAGTTGAAGAGCAGAGCAGATCAAAAGACAAATGTAAAAGTTTGATCCCATGAGTTGCCAAATTACAGTGTTAGTTTAACTCATAACTTCATCAGGTCTCTTTATGTGAAAAAAGCACCTTTGGAATTAGAATGGGTGACATATGAGAGGATGCAGATGAATCAAAATATCCAGAAATCTCAATCTGCAATGGAGCTCACTTGCCAGTATACTCAACTGCTGTTCTCCTGTCTGCTAATGCAGTTCCTACCTTGCTCAAAAATTCTTAGTAGGCTCATCTGAACTCACTGACACAGGAAATCACATCTCCTCATCATCTCTTTGACTGTGAACTTTTTTCAAACCTGTAACAATGGTCAGACTCCAGTAATGCCCCAGAAAGACAAATACAGAGTCTGCCCTGGAAGAAGGCTTACACAATAAGAAATATCTGTAATAACTCTAGCAAATATGTATACTTGTACAATATGAGTGTGCTAGATCAAGGAGGGGTAATCATATCAAGCTGAATTTATCAATATAGATATGCATACGAGAGATTTTGGATTCAATATGCTGACTTAATAAGCAGCTAGAAGTAGTAGTTCTAATCGTTTTCTTAGTTGGTGAACTGAAACCTGGACTCAATGGTAGTCTACATTAAACAAAGTTTAAGTTGCCAGAAATTCCCTGGAATAATGAGTAAGAAGAAATCCAAAATCTTAGAGAGACAGAGATGTTGGTTTATCATGGGGCACCTAGGTTGCTCAGTGGTTGAGTGTCTGCCTTTGGCTCAGGTCATGATCCTGGGGTCCTGGGATCGGGGAGCTTGCTTCTCCCTCTGCCTGTGTCTCTTCCTCTCTCTCCGTGTCTCTCATGAATAAATAAATAAAATCTTTAAAAAAAAAAAAAGAGTTTATCATGAGGGCACCAGGTGGCTTAGTTGGTTAAGCATCCAACTCTTGGTTTTGGCTTGGGTCATGGTCTCGAGGTTATGGGATCAAGCCCTGTGGAGCATGTTGTGCGTGGAATCTGCTTCAGATTCTCTCTCCCTCTCTCTGCCCCTCCCCCACCCCATTAGCACACTCGCTTTCTCACTCTCTCAAATAAATAAATAAATAAATCTTAAAAAAAAAAAAAAAGAAAGAATGGTTTATCATGCATAATCTGCTCAGTCACATTTTCTTTCCTAAGAGCTCAAATGACACTTGCTTCCCCAAGGCTTTGAGAAATATTTATTTCGTGAGTTCTAAAATGTGTATCTTTTCATGTCCATGAAATGAGGATGTGTTATAAATTACTGTAGGTCACACTTTAACCGTAGTCTTTTTTTCCTAAGACTTCATAAGGTTCTTCTAAGGTTCATAAAATAATAGTTTGTCTTATCATTGACAGTATCTTGGATTTGATTAATTTTGGGATATTGTTGAGGAGACTAGTAGCATATTCTAAGACAATGTTGTGGCTGTTCTTCATTAGCCAGGTGTGCTAGTAGGAGATAATGCTGATTTCAGTAGGGATGAATCACCAGGTTCCTTGGGTAGCAGTAGAGGCATTTCCATTTCTAGGAAAAAAGGTGGCTACGGTAGCATAACAGATGGCAGGACCAGCATGGTAATCAGAATAATCTTAACAAAAGCAATTTTGGACAAGGGATAATAACCATGTGTTCCTTAGGGGCAGCCCACTAACATCCCACCTCAAGGCTCAGTAACCTGTGGCCTGTGTCAAATCACCACAATAGAGAACACAGCCAGGGCAGCCCCTGCGGCTCAGCGGTTTAGCGCCGCCTGCAACCTGGGGCATGATCCTGGAGACCCGGGATCGAGTCCCACGTCAGGCTCCCTGCATGGAGCCTGCTTCTCCCTCTGCCTGTGTCTCTGCCTCTCTTTCTCTCCTCTCTGTGTCTCTCATCAATCAATAAATAAAATCTTAAAAAAAAAAAAAACTATAAAAAAAAAAAAAAAAGAAAACACAGCCAGCCACTCACCCAATTCCCAGAACTGAATCTTTCGACAGACTCAGGGTACCTTGAATGAAGTGTGTATTTGTTTCCCAAGCTTCTGTATCAAATGACCAAAACCTGGGTGGCTTAATATAATATATTCTCTCATGGTTCTAGAAGCTAGAAATCCATAATTGGCAGGGCCATGCTCCCTCTGAAGGTACTTGGGAAGAAGCTCTCTTTGCTTCTTTGTGGCAATCTTTGATATTCCTTGGCTTACAATTATATCCTTCCAGTTTATGGCTCTCTTCACATGGCCTTCTTCCCTGTGTACCGCCCCCCCACCGTTATAAGGACACTTCACTAGTCTTTGGGTTTAGGGTTCACCTGATCCAGTATCACCTAATACAGTATGATCTTACCTTGATTATATCTGCAAAGTCACTATTTCCAAATAAAGTCACATTTGCTGATACTAAAAGTGGTGGGGATTAGGACTTGAACACATCTTTTGGGGAGGACACTAGTCAACCGTCTAATCTATTCCTCCACCCCCACTTATTTCATTATGAAAACCGGGGTTCTTAGTTTCAAACATTAGAAATCAACTCTGTCTGCATTAAACAGAAAATGGAACCCTGTATGCACCTCAGGTGAGGAGTGGCTTTCCATGGTCTCCTTTGTAAATGGGCTCTGAGCCTAGCATCTCTGTCCCCACCACCTATGACCACATGCCAAGGCTTGGCAGAGGTCACCGCCAAGGTTTCCGCCCGCCCACAAACAACAGCAAGGCAGCCACCCCCTCCAGTGGCTCTCTCTTGGCCACCCTCAGTTGTTACTGGAGCTGCCTGGGTTCCACTTCCAGTAACAGCTCCTGCAGAAATGCAGAGTATCCTGGGGAAGCCATCCCTCACCCCCCTGGTCTCCCCAAGGCGTACCCGGGTCACTCATGGGCAAGCTTCTTTTTCAGGAACTCCACTCTCCCATTTAGGGCTACAGCGTCAGAGTCCCCAGAACGCTTAGAATCTCCCAGGCCTCCAACAGCACAATCACCTGTGACTTGGCTCCAGAAGTCATGAGGAAGCAACCTGTTGGCCAGCCTAGCAAAGCCAACAACTGGGCCCCAATCCTGAGTGGCCACCACGAGCCACCGGGCTTCGGGAGACACTAGGCTCATTAGAGCCCCTCCTCTCCCCACTTCTCCCTGTAGAGGAGGCAGGCCACAGCAAGCTAAAGCAGTTGGGTTATTTTATATCACAAGAGCAAAACACCAAAAAGGAAGTTGGGAGAACCCCACTCTTTACTATCCAAGCCTTTACATGCAAGCCTTCCGGACACCCTGTAACCATGTGCCTTTCACCAAGTGGGAAATATAAACTCCAAGCAGCCAGTTTAAAAAAAAAAAAAAATCACTTAGCTAACAGAATCACTTCAGATGGCTAAAGAATCAGGCTTAGGTCAGAAACCATACCCAGAACTCCTCTCCCAAACCTGTGAGACAAGTACATCATTTCTACCACCCTCGAGCATGGGGTATTCAGTATGCATCACTGATACCATTAGTAGTGGATACTGGATTTCATTTCATTTCTTTTTTTTCTTTTTTAAGATTTTATTTATTTATTTGAGAGAGAGAGAGCACAAGCAGGAAGGAAGAGGGGCAGAGGGAGAAGTAGACTTCTCATTGAGCAGGGAGCCTGATGTGGGGCTGGATCCCAGGACCCCAGGATCACAAGACCTGAGCAGAAGGCAGACGCTTAACTGAGTGAGTTACCCAGGTGCCTCTGGATTTCATTTCTGAGAGATTTAAGTCTTTAGGGTTGCTGTCAGGAAGAGTGCTAGGAGGTACTACAGGTATCCTCTGGGTGCCAACCATATTCCTCTCTGCTTCATTATGTAGCAGCATGCAGGATTCCTAATAAGATGAGTAAATCTTATAAGGTTAATGTTCCACTTACTTTGCCTTTGAGTTTCTTGGTGAAATCCTGTTCTCTGTGGAATATGATGACAGTGAATAGGATTGCCAATAGAATATGGCAGGTGGGAAGACACAATCATCCAGAGTGTGTCCACTTCAGTGTGTCTCCCTACATCATCCACTTGGCTCATGAGACCACAGAGCAATCATGGAGGTGAATGGAGAAAAAAGGTCCCTGACAGGCATAATGAGTATCTTGTCTGTATGATTATCAAGAATAAGATTAAAAGGGATCCCTGGGTGGCGCAGCGGTTTAGCGCCTGCCTCTGGCCCAGGGCGCAATTCTGGAGACCCAGGATTGAATCCCACGTCGGGCTCCCGGTGCATGGAGCCTGCTTCTCCCTCTGCCTGTGTCTATGCCTCTCCTTCTCTCTCCCTCTCTCTCTCTCTCTCTCTCTCTCTCTCTCTGTGACTATCATAAATAAATAAAAAATAAAAAGAATAAGATTAAAAATGGGGCGCTTGGATGGCTCAGTTGGTTAAGCATCTGCCTTTGGCTCAGGTCATGATCTCGGGGTCCTGGGATCGAGCCCTGTATTGGGCTCCCTGCTCAGCAGGAAGTCTGCTTCTCCTTCTCCCTCTGTCACTACCCCTCCACTCATGTTCTCTCTCTTGATCTCTCTCGCTCTCAAATAAAATCTTTAAAAAAAAAGTTTAAAGAGTGAGATTAAAAATCCTTGCACTCCATATCTATCCCAAGAGGTCCATCCATATGCCTCCTCCACAAACTTCCTTGCACTGATTCTCCATTCTTATTCCTTCTAAGTTCCTAATCTACTATCTAAAAATCTAAAAATCTTAGCTACTGCCTGTGAATCTGGTCAGATCCTCACCTCAGTATAGCTTGCCTTTGAAAACCCAGCCCCCCACAAAAAAAAAAAAAAACTGACCATGAAATCTACTGTTCAAAGTCCTGCCCATTGGGAAGAACTTTCTTTCCTTCCTTACTATACTTGTATCCCCTAAACAGGGCTATTATCCCACATCAGTCCACTCTTGCCTGGCTCCAGCATATTATATACATAAACACAACATGCCTTTATTCACTCCTCAGACAACTGATCACAAGGAAGTACTCTTTGGGACCTTTGGGGATGAGTTGAGGGACAGGTGGCAATATGGCAGGTATAGGCATGCTGAGGTCACGAGCCACATTGCAATTTAAAATGTATCCTCCCTTAGGACCTGCTTGGATCTGGTCCTCTATATACTCTTCAATTTCATAATGGAAAGGTGCAAAATAAGCCCCCCAAAAATTGGAGGAATGAAATAATAAAGATAAAAGCAGAAATTAGTGAAATAGAAAACAAAAAATAATAGCAAATATCAACAAAGTCAAAAACAGTATTTTCTTTTTTTAATATAAGAAATTGAGGGATGCGGGTGGTTCTGTTCGTTAAGCGTCTGCCTTCGGCTCATGTCATGATCCTAGGGTCCTAGGATCCAGCCCTGCTACAAGGCTCCCTGCTCAGTGGGGAGTCTGCTTCTCTCTCCTTCTGTCTGCCACTCTACCTACTTGTGCGTGCTCTCACGCACTCTCTCTCTCTCTCTCTCTCTGGCAAATAAAATCTTTTTTAAATTTTTGAAAAAATAAGGATGCCTGGGTGGCTCAGTGGTTGATCATCTCCCTTCAGCTCAGGGCATGATCCTGGGGTTCTGGGATTGAGTCCCACATCAGGCTCCCTGCATGGAGCCTGCTTCTCTCTCTGCCTGTGTCTCTGCCTCCCTCTCACTCTGTGTCTCTCATGAATAAATAAATAAAATATTTAAAAAAAAAAGTAATCTCTACACCCAGCATGGGGCTCAAACTCATGACTTGAGATCAAGAGTCAGATGCTTGGGACACCTGGATGGCTCAGCTGTTGAGTGTCTGCCTTCAGCTCAGGGCACGATCCCAGAGTCTGGGGATTAAGTCCTGCACTGGGGTCCTGCTGGGGGCCTGCTTCTCCCTCTGCCTATGTCTCTCCCTCTCTCTCTGCATCTCTCATGAATAAATAAAATATTTAAACAAACAAACAAAAAAAGTCAGATGCTCTGACTGAGCCAGCCAGATGGTCCCAAAACAGACTTTCTTTAAAAACTAATAAAATAGTAAAAGACTTTGGTGAGGTTGATCAAAGGGAAAAACAACCCAGAATGCATAAATACAAAATATGAGGTATAAAAATAATAACAGATATTTATAGCATAGGCTATTATTATAAGCAGATGCTGATAAATTTGAAGCACATGAGATGGACACATTCCCAAGAAAATACAACTTACCAGAGTGACTCAAGAAGAAACAGACATAACAATTTGTCCTATATACATAAAGAAATTAAATTGGTAGTTAAGACTTTTCTCATATAGGAAATCTAAGTCCAGATTCAAGGATCAAAGCCTTTTATGTGAACTTCTCTGTAGCATAGTCTGTTCTGCCTTAATGTGTGTTGGTTAAAAGAACTAGTTCATACACAGTGGTCACTCAACAAAACACAAAAAGTACCAACCAAAGAAAAGGACTGATAAATTTGGCTTCATCAAAATTAAGAACCTGTGTGTGTCAAAAGAACCACAGGACTTCCAGTTTCAGTCCATGAGAATAGAGGGCTGGAAAGAACAATGCTCCCACCCTTATAGCAAGAAAAAAAGCTTGAGAAATGGAAAATTCATGACTTTTCTTGAACCACTGCGGCACTGAGGTTGTGGGCAAACAACTCTCCTGAAAACTGGAGCTAGGCAGCAGCAGGGAGAAACAGGACCCAAGCCTTTGTCTGCGTGGGACAGAGTTTAGTCAGAGAAGGAATGGATTGCTCAAGGTGGGGTATGGGCTAGTGTGAAGCCTGGGAGCTGCAGATGCTGAGAGGTCCCCATCCTGTGTAGGCTGCACAGGAGGAAGGCCGGGGAGAACCGTGACAAGCTGGCTTGGGGAAGAAAGCAGTAGTCACTGCGGAAGCCTCATAGAGCCCCAAGCTCCTAGGGGGAGAAAAGCCTTCCTTGGTGAAAGTCAACAAAATCGGGATCCCTGGGTGGCGCAGCGGTTTGGCGCCTGCCTTTGGCCCAGGGCGCGATCCTGGAGACCTGGGATCGAGTCCCACGTCGGGCTCCCGGTGCATGGAGCCTGCTTCTCTCTGCCTATGTCTGTGCCTCTCTCTCTCTCTCTCTCTCTCTCTCTCTCTCTCTCTCTGTGTGTGTGTGTGTGTGTGTGACTATCATAAATAAATTAAAAAAAAAAAAGAAAGTCAACAAAATCTGTAGCCCGAGGACACTGGTGGCAACCCACCAAAGCTGGGGAAGGAAAATGATAGCCAACAATGAGACTCTGCCCAGATCCATCTCTCCTATTTCTTCTAGGAAACAGAAGCATTGAACTTCAGGAGAAAGGCAAAAACTTAGAGCCCAGGGGCACTGATGGAAACCCAGTGCAGCTGGGAAAAGGAACAGGAAAAATAAAAAAGCTCTTTACCCCTGGGGAGGGCAGGGATACGTGCTAAATCCAGCGTAACTTCTAGAAAAGAGGCAGAACACCAATGACGGCCACACCCTCGAGGCCCAGGTCCCAGTGCCTTTGTAAGAACCATGTTTAAGCAAAACAGAGACTGCCCTTCTCCCTGCCACTAAGTAAAAAGAAGTTGCATAGAGGGGCGCCTGGATGGCTTAACTTGGTTGAGCCTCTGCCATGATCCCAGGGTCCTGGGATTGAGTCCCTCATCTGCCTCTCCTCAGCAGGGAGCCTGCTTCTCCCTCTCCCTCTCCCTCTGTCTCTTCCCCCCTGCTCATGCTCTGTCTCCCTCACTCTCAAATAAATAAAGTCTTTAAAAAATAAAAATAAAAAATAATAAGTTGAAGAGAGCTGTAGGGAATTGTGAAAGACAGGCTCTCTGCAGGGCAGCCAAAAAGGAAGACCTACAGCCAAGCAGGGAGACACACAGCTACTACCGGGGGCCTGGCAGCCTGCAGTGCAGCAAGTGTGAAAGGCAGCCCTGACGAGATTAACCCAGACCCTCACACCGAAGGCAGAGCAGAAGAAAAGCCATGTGCTCAGCAAACCCCAGTCTACTCTCTAGGTCTTGTGGATTTGCCCATTTTGGACATTTCACAAAAATGGAATCCTACAATGAAGAGTGTCTCACAACTGGCTTTTTCCACTTTAGTTTCACCCATGTTAAAGCATGTGTCAGTCCTGGATTTCTTTTTATTGCTGAGTCACA